TGAACATCAGAGCCACTGTTCACACTCTGGTTCTGACCAGCAAACCTGTTAAAATGCCATGTCTGCACCTCTCGCCATCCCTCGCTCATTCTCAGCTAATCGCTCTGCTCTTATGCCTGGAACTCCACACCTCAGATGCATAAAAGAGGAGCTAAATCTTTTGAAAATGCTCCTATTTAGCATTTTTATAATTTAATACATTAGTTCCTACAACAAAAGAATTTATCAGCATATCAATTAATGCAAGTTAAAAATGTACATACATGCTTTTTGAGAACGATCCAATGAATGCAAGAACATGACCCTCTGTACAAATGAGGCATGGTTAAAATAACATAATTGCGTAGACTTTTGATTAGTGACTAAGAAGTCTTCATTTCATGCCATACTTTATATTACACTTCTCAACATTTGAAAACTTTGCTTATTTCTAGGTTTTACGGACAAAAATTCTCAATTTTCAATATCGGACTTTACTTACAGTATGGACACTGCAATACAACTGATCAGTTGTATAGTGCTTGGGCTTTTGTAGAGATCTTGCACCTCCTTGTGGTCTGATGTAACTGACAGCACCTGAAAATCACCTATTAGGCCTATTTGTTTTAGCCTTTCATAGATTCTCTCAATTGATTTCACCAAGAAATTAAGGTTTAAAATGTATATATAAAATGATATAAAATCACACACACACACACACACACACAGAAAAGAGTAAGAATGAAAAGGTAAACATTTTCTAGAACCATAATAAATTTGTCAATAAACTGAATGAAACATCTTCACTCTCATTGCAAATGCTTCAGAATGGTGTCGAAGTATAATCATAATTAAAAAAGAAAAACAAAAGCCATTTTCTGAGGTGGTACAGGTCTCCTAGATGAACTGTTCATTTTGACCGCCTCTTATTCAAGGTAATACATTTAAAACACAGATCACTTTTATTTAATAAGTTCTACTTCCCCTAAAGTCTATAACTCCTCTTAACAATTTCCTGAAAATAATGAATTTTATATAGCACACTAATTGGAATATCTTGGAAATGTTAAGGTTTTTTTGTTTATTGCAATATTTTTATTTGTTGTTACATTTACATTTACTTTTATCCAAAGCGACTTACAAATGAGGACAATGGAAGCAATCAAAATCAACAAAAGAGCAATGATATGCAAGTGCTATAACAAGTCTCAGTTAGCTTAATGCAGTATACACGTAGCAAGGTCTTTTTTAAATGATATAATATTTATTATAATTATATAATAAATAAAAAGAAAACTGATAGAATAGAAAACGAATAGAGCAAGCTAGTGTTAGTTGTTTTTTTTAAAGAAAACAAGTAAATGAATAGAGGGCAAGTCTAAAAGGGGCAAGTTTTTTAAAGAATAGAATTAGAATAGAGAGTGCTAGAGTTCGAGGGTCAAATAAAGATGGAAGAGATGTGTTTTTAGCATTATATGTTGCCCCGAAAATAAATCATTGAAATGTTTTAACATTAAACCTGGCTAAAATATGAGTCTTTTATCCATAATACCGCTTTCTCCAGTGAAAAACTTGTCTGATTCAGGAGAAAGAAAATATGCACCGATCAAACATCACTTACAAGGTGAAAACAGTCCAAAACAGCTCTAAACAAATATATCATTGGATTTGATGTATGAGGGGACTTTTTAACTGGAGGAAGTATTATTCTGGATTATGGACTTATTCTAAATATTGTCTAAATAATTGAAAAATAAAACACAAAAACAAATTGTTAGTGAATTCAAGTATCACAATATTGTAGAGCATGAAAATTGTACAGCTGGATATTAAATTAATTGATATTTACTGTGTTGTTAAAAAGTGTTTTTAAAGATTTATATTATGTGAACTAGATGACATCTCATTGTAAAAAAAGAAGAAATAAGCATGCACAATTAAAAATTCATTATTAGCCTGATACTGATACAGTATAGTGTGCATCCATAATTACAATGTTTCCAAAGTTGTAAAAAGCTTTTACCACTGCCATGGTCATGTTGAGTTCATCAGACTGTTCGATCTTGAAATCTAAACTGCTGATTGCTGAAGGTTTGTTCATGTCCACTGCACAGTTTTGGGCCTGCTGGAAATCAACAGCTTCTCAAGTCACTCTCTTTTCCTAAGATTAAGACTGTAGTGCCCAAGTATGCTTTTAAAGGTACAACAGCGCTTTTAATCATGGTCGCTAAAGAGCAGATTGAGTGCTGGGAGAATTTTGTACAAAGAATGACTTGAATTTGCTTTTGAAGAACTCAGAGTTCTTCTCTGACTTTGGCAAGAATTAGACCATTTTCACATCGTCTCTTCATGGCCAGTCCAGGAACAGAGCTGGTAGTTTGAGTGCTGGTAGAAGATGCTTTGTAATATCGTTCGCTGGTGTGGACGCTAATATCGTTATCTTTATAGTTATATTTATAGTTATCGTTCTTGGTGTGAACGGGGCTTTAGTCTGAATGAATGCCTGCATGTGGGTGGCCTGGTTTGAGAGGCTGGTGTAAAAGACATTTATGTTCGATTATCTTTGCTTAATCTTTAAAAACAAAAATAATACAATAACACTGTTAAATATGATCTTAAGCAAATTTCAAAATAAAGTTTATTTGTTCATACTGTACATTATAATGTTGTGATGCCTAAATTCAATTGTAGAATTTAAAATTATGGGTTTTATAAAATATATATTAAAGCTGCAGTATTTGAGCAAGTACATAACCAGCCAGTGTTCAAAACTATCGCCTTCACAACATTGCGGCGGTGGCAACAACAATAGCCTACTACAGCGAGAATAAAAGTTACGCCTTCTTTCTTTGCGTGAACATTTGGGCGGTGTTAAGCAAATCTTCCCACATCGTGAGGTAGATATGTGGGGGTGTGTTAGAACGAGCCGTTTTAGGTAGGCGTGGCTGACTCTTAACTTTTATAAAGAATATCTCTTTGGATTTGAGACTTTAGTCTTTGCAACTTTACAGATCTTCTTTATGCACCAAGAGCTTGTAACACTCCAAAGAGAAAGGAAAACTTGAAATCACATCATATGACCCCTTTAATACTGGTGCATCCTTAAAAATACTTCTTGAATTCTTTTAATTAATGTTCTTATTGAATATTGTCACAAAATGCCCCACTTCTCTGGTTATCAATAAGTCATTCATGCTTACATTAAATTCATATAACAATGTTAGAGATTACTTGCCATTTCCAGAGTAAAGATCAGTTTCTTCTTTCAGTTTGTTGAGAGAAAGTGGAACTGGGTGACTAGTGTCAACACCCACAGACATCTCAGCAACCTGCTGCATGCTGCTACAGCACCAAAAATCTGTGTCATCTTCCTGCTTCACAGTGTCCACACTGAAGGAGGATGAATCTGGGGGTGGACACATATATAGTTATGAATGCTCTCAAAAGAGAATTATTTTACGTTTGTCCTTACAGTTCATTGATACAATATTTAACCAATCAGTTCAACCAGTAAGTATCATCTGGAGCAGTATTTTGCTCAATAGCAGATGCTTGTTACAGAAATGTAAATTCAGCTAAAACAATATACTTGCCATTTCCATCAAAAAATAAAATAAAAATCACCATCTTGCAGCTACTCAGGTGTGAGAGAAACTGGGCTCCAAAGACCAAAAGCCCCTGATTTCTGCCCACTGCTAGAATGAAAAATCTAAAAGTGTACAAATAGTTGTAACTCTGTATCATACTGTTTGCTTAGCTCGTCTATTGCTATTATGAGAATAGTAAAATAGTTTGACATTTTATATAAAAAAAAGTATTGACAGTTTAGTTTTAGAGTTATGTTTCTGCAAACTGTGAGACGAGAGTTAGATGTTGTACATGGGTATATGAATAATTTGCCCCAAAAACTAAATTCAGTAACCCTATTTATTCACCTTAATGCAATTCCAAATTTGTATGACTTTCTGTTTAGCAGAATACTCATATTTTGCTGACAAAATACATTAAAAAGTAGTCCAGATAAAACTTATTTGCATTATGCATTATCATTTATACTGTATCTAACTGACCTCAGAAAGAAACATAGATATCATATCAAAATAACCATTATAACCTAATGAATGGATAGGTTAAGCATTATTATATTATATTATATTATATTATATTTACAGGAACATCATTTATTATATATACAGGAACATACATAATATTATTATTTTAATATTATTTAATACCAATATTATTTAAATTAAAATTCACAAATCGATTCTTTCGAAGCCATATTTATGCGCATATTGCTGTTTATCGTATTAAAGTTGTATCAATAAGAATCTGGATATCAATAAGCCGGTTTAACTGCATGTGTCTCAATTTCATGCATCAATAATTGGCTCATTCAGTTTTCAGTTGTTGATTTGTGAAGTTGCTTGGATATGATTCTTCATCGGTTAGTTCAGATCGATTCAAATGATTCATTGAAAAGATCCGAGTTTTTTTTTTTAAAGATCAGAATTGTTCGCAAACGGACGTCACTAATACAAAGACGAGATTTAAAAAAAAAAAAATTTTTTTTATTAAGGTTCTAAATTGTTGTTTTACATTTACCTAAATTAATGTTCAGTTGTAGTTAAAATTAAAATATTACCCAGTGGCAATATTAGCATTAAAAAAAAACGTGTATGCTTCATTTACTTAGAACGACAAAACACTAAAGCTACAAGAGAACGTGACAACTAAGTTAATTAAACTTTGGAGACTTTAATCATTCTTAAAACTGAGCAGTTTGCATCATTATTACCAGAGTGAACTTATTGCCAGTATATTTCTCGCTATCCACAAGCAATTTAACTTACAGAACAAACCGCAATTGACCGATTTTGATCGATCTGTGGACTAGCAAGGGACATTTCAGTAGCAGGTCGATAAATGTTGGTAAGTCGACTTCATATTCAAAATAAAACTCAAATTACTATCATTAGAACCCCGCTGAAAGCTAAAACTTCTTATATAATGGCTGCCATGTTGTTGACTTTAGGCAAATCTCATGGATCAGTCCGTGATTCAGCCTGAAACAAGTAAGTACCCAGCTAACAAAAATGAGTTGTCAGGAACGTTTTTTTCTAACATTTACATAACGTTAGTGAAAGTTATGGGAACGTTCCCTGTTAGCTGGGTAGCCACTTTTCTCGTGGTTTTAACGTTACCTACGAGCTAATGTTTGATCAATGAACTTTGCTTATTGTTTTTATTGATCCAGTGGAACTGGTGGTTGTCACTCATGTTGTGGATGCCATCACGTTTTGGGCTCAGGTAAGCTTTAATAGTTACTGTTTACCAAGTTCATTTGACATGACAAAGTGGGGTAAACTTTTCCTTTGATGTCAGATTGAATTGATTGCTATTGTTACTTTGAGTCAAAAATGTTAACTGCTACAACATTTCTTCTAGAGTTGCTGGTTTTTGTCAGTGGTGGACGAAGTAAATCAAGTACTTGAGTAAAAGTACAGATAAGTATAATAAAATATTACTCCAGTAAAAGTAAAAGTACTCCTTTTTCAATTTTACTCGAGTGAAAGTACAAAAGTATTCGATTTTTTTATGTACTTAAGTAAAAAAGTAATGATAGATTTATTTTGCAATTTTATATAGGCTACTTAATTTACATTTATATTAAGGGGAATATGAACGTGCATGAGTTATTTAATTTAATCTGTGTTATTTTAAGTTTTTTTTGTTTATACCTAAACCAGAGACACTGATGTTGATGTATCTACATTCAAGCATTTCAGTGGGCTTAAATAGATCACCCTTTACAGCAGATTTAGTTCACAAACAACTGACAGTTTTGACCTAAATATGATTTTCAGTTACAATAATTAATCCTAAAATTCGACATTAGTAACTTACTTTTAGTAGCATCAGTCGCTCACAAGATCTCCCGGTTCTTACTTGTGAATTCAGTTCACTGGAGACTCGCACTAAACGGATCATTTGAATCAGTGAGTTGTCGACTCGACAACAACTGCAATCGGTTCATTCTAATTCGTTTGGTGCGATTTGCGAACCGATTTAAAAGGTTAATTGAAAAGAATCAGTTCGTTCTTGAATCAGACACCACTTCTGCGTTGTTACTGTCCACCACTGGTTTTTGTTTTATAGTATAGTTAACTACTGTAATATGTAGTATGTTTCTGAATTTTTATGGTGTTTGTTTCATCAGAATGTGACCGACAAAATAAATGAGAAGATAAATGTTATGCTGACAGAAAAATGCCCCAGTGCACCTATACTCATGGGAAGACCAAGTTCACACAAGGCAAGTCATATATGGTCAAACAGGAAAGGTCAAAAAGGTTAGATCTGACTCTTTTCCATTTTGTGTGTAGGTCTATGGGGCACGATATTCAGAGGACAAGTGCTGGTACAGGTGTACTGTGCAACGGCAAACAGAAGACAAGGTGCATAAAAAGCTGTGAAAATCAAGATTTTATTTTAACTCCTAAACAAAGGTTTTTTGTTTTTTTTTAAATTCCTATGGGGAAAATTAATGAGAAAAATACTTCCTGAACCAAGGCTCCTGAAAAATACACCACTTGTTGCACTCTTTAAGTATAAGTGGGTAAAAATGATTTGTTTTGTTAGATGATATGACACTTTATGCTGAAATTGGTGAAATGCAGAAAAAATACCCTGTTCAGCGACAGTCACCCATGATTAATTTATTCAGAGACCAAAAGCATCTGCTAATGGGTGGTTTCCAAAATAGTGAACAGAACTTTAAGATGATCAAGTAATTTTATTATAGCAGCCTGCCTAAAACAACATACATGACATGATGCATGATCGGTTTAACGTATTTATCAAAAGTGGTTTTAATTTCTTGAGCTGTAATTTTTATTATAGTGAACAAAGTGACTTTGAGGACTACTAAATGACAACTTTATGAATAATTGGCAAAATGCAGAGCTGTTTTTTATTATTTTAACACTGATGTGGTTCTCACCAATATCACATATCAGGTTTTGCTTTGTCTTTTTTCTCAGTTCTACATTTTGTACATTGACTATGGAAATACAGAGATTGTCAGTCGGTCTGATTTAGTTGAACTCCCAGAAGAACTGCAGACAACGGGACTTGCAAAAAAGTACAAGTTCTGGGGCTTTCATGTGTCAGTCGAGCAGGATTCCCCGATTTTTTCACAGGTATCTGACAAAACTGGACCGTTCGCCTATGAATGTGATTTTAAATGCATCTGATATTTGTTTACCATTAAATGTTTTGCTTTGCTCTCATACAACTGTGTTATCACTAGGGGAAGTCCTTTCTTCAGAATATGATTCATGGAAAAAAGTTGCGTGTCCATAAAAAGTCGGTTTGCTTTGATGGAACCATCCTGGTTGAAGCCTTCCAGGGGAATCTTGACATTGGTGAGGAACTGTTGAAATTCAAGTTCGCCAAAGTCAATCTTCCAGGAAACAGGGAGAACTCCCTTCCCTCAGTAAACCTGCAGGAGCGCACAGGACTGTGGCCCACCAGAAATTCCCCAGGAGAGTTGGACACACTTGGCTCTCCACTGGGATGCATTCCCAAATTGCGATCAATATTCTCAAGACCAGAAACCTCAAATTAAGTAAGTTTTGAGACACAGACAATAATATAGATTTACCTCTCTTTGTGAAAGTACTTAAAGGGATAGTCGACTCAAATATGATAATTGTCATCGTTTACTTACCCTCATGTTGTTCCAAACCTGCAGGGCCGGAGTGGGACTCATTTTCAGCCCTGGAGTTTCATGCCGTAGACCGGCCCACTTTTCTTTTTCTTTTTTTTGTACTGGCCTTTTCAGTGCCACTTTTTGCGCTTTCTATTATGCATTTTCTTTGATCTATAATTATTTTGCTCGCATATCTCCAACAACTGACGTTTTTTTTGTTTTGTTTTGTTTTTTTGGAGCAAGGTGCCGCTGTCAGGGGAGTAAGATAATTACGTCATCATTAGGGTTGCCAATTAACTTCAGAAATGGAAAAAAAGGGACAATTGTGATTCTTTATATTTTATTCTTTAAGAAAATAAGGGACAGAATAAGGGACGCTCCAAGTATTTGTACTGTACCATAATTGTAGGCTGTAATCACAATTGTTTTGCTTAATCTGTGTACAATTATTCTAAAAATAATTTTAATGTCATACAAAAAATGTCATCAGCAATGAAGTAAATTGTACCAATATAGAAATCACAAGTGTATATAATTTAGGAGGTGAAAATACTGTGAAATTACAAATGGCATGAAATTTGAAAGCCAACAACTGATGAAACGTCAGTCAATAAAGCATTTTTAACAATGGCACTTAAAGTTTTGAACTAAAATATCATTACAACCATATAGCCTTTGAATGAATGAAAATGCATATTTTTCAATTAAAGAAAACTTAGAGAGTGTGGGCTGCTTCTGGTGCTTGGATTTGTAGCCTACTTCAATAATGAGGTCCACGTTTAAGAATACGCTAGA